CCATTCCAGCCGAAAGGCATCGACCCCGACCGCCTTGCAGTCTGGGAAGGGTGCCACATAAACTGGAAGATGCCTTGACCACCCTGATGCGAAGAGCTCCATCTCTGGGCGCCCGTACGTCCGGCAGAACCAACTGAACAAGTCAGCATCGACCATCCATTCCATGGAAAGGGGAATGATCCGAGACAGGCCATCTGCCAGGACATTTGACACCCCATGAACCTGAACCACCAGCAGAACCAAACCCCGAGAACTCAGCAGACGAGTCACCCAAAGCGAGTCACCAGCCCCAAAGAACCAAGGACCGCATCGAACCCCCGCGGTTCAGGCAATGAACCACTGGGAAGCAGTCCGAATGGAGCCGGATCGTTGCTCCTCGAGTGACCCGAATCCTCTGAAGCAAATACCACACAGCCGCAGACTCGTGCGCCGTGCTGTGAGCTCGACGGAAGGATGGACCCCACCGACCCAGGCCAGCCTGGTGAGTACTTGTCACAAAACCCCAGCCGAGAGACGAGGCATTCATGAACACATCAAGCAAGGGCTCAGGGAGGAGGCACGGCACAGAACCCCGAAAAACCCGCAGAGGAAGCCGGCGACGCAGCAGCCGACGCAAGGCTCCCGGGATCCGAACCCATCGTTCGCAAGAGAGGCAGAAGGGACAACCCCAAAGAAACCAGAACATCCGCCGAAGCCAGATCCGACCCCGAAGAAACCAGAACATCTGCCGAAGCCAGATCCGACCCGATGGGTAGATCAGCACGTCGAAGTTTAGGTTCCAGCACAGCCGCTCGAACAACCAACGTGTGACCCAGGTGCCCTCCAAAAACAGCCAGGGGTGGAACTGCAGCCGCAACAGCGTCACAGGACGGCGAGAGAAGCAAGCAGTCCAAGAGAGTGACACAAGACCCAGCCAAGTCCGAACCTGAGACGGAACCAAATGGGACTTCCTCCAGTTCATCAAGAACCCAAACCCGGAGAGCTGGGAAAGAACCATATCCCTGGCGAGCTGGGAAAGAACCATATCCCTGGCGAGCAGACATCACGGACTGGCTGGGAGCCCACACCAGCCAATCGTTGAGGTAAGCCAGAACCTGAACCCCTAACAGACGTAAACACGTCACCACGACCCGGGAAAGGTGTGTCAATACTCGAGATGCCAGATTCAAGCTGAATGGAAGGCAACGAAAGCAGTAAGCTTGTTGCCCCATGACAAAACAGAGCCAGTCCCTGAACCCCGGGTGAATTGAGACGTGCCAATACGCGTCCCGGAGGTCTAGAGATACCATCCAGGCACCCGCCGCCAAAAGCAGCCGGACCCGAGACAGAGGGGCCATCCGAATGGAGGAGCAAAAGACCCAGGGATTCAGACTAGACAAGTCCAATATGAATCGCAGATCTGCACAGTCCTGTTCCAGAACTGAAAACAGGCAGGGAAAACCCACCTGACTGTCATTGTCGTTTCGACCACACCCAAGCGAACCCACTCCTTAATGCCCTGACAGAACACAGAGAAGAGGCCTGCCCTGCCAGCCCACGATCCCCCTAAAGGAGGAAGAGCGACCCAATGCCACCGCAGGCCGAAGGAAACGACATGAAATGCCCTCAAATCGGGGGACCAGGCTAGAGCGAACAGCACAAGCCTCCCCTTCCCCCCCCATATCGCCCCATCAATTGGGCAACCCACGAAAGGGCCGACGACCCCTACGAGAGCCCAACCGACGCTGAGAGCGATCACTGCACCGACCAAACGCTGACAGCTCCAGAGGTGGTGTCATCCCCAAATCTGGCACTACTGGCTTACGATGACTGAAGGAACCCACGCAACCTGGCACGACCCTTCTGGGCAGGACCTCCATGCCCCCCTCCCCCCTGGAGAACCGACAAGTCCAACAAAGGCCATCAACTAGACGAAGACGCCTGCAGAAAATGCACCACCGCAGACTCTGCAAACAGCAACGGACAAAAACGGGATGAAAATCTAAGAGCCAGGGGCCCAAGACAATTCCAAAATTTGGACGAGCACCGCCTGTCAGCATGCGAGGCGAGAAGCAAATAGACACCACCTCCCTCAGAAACAGCACATACAACTTCACCAAAGCAGCCGGCACCCGAGCTGCCGAAGCAAGCCCACCGGACCCATGCCCGGAACCCAGCTCCTCCACACCCAGCACGAGCCAGTCCGAAGACAGCTCCAGCAGGAAAAAGAAGCGCAAAACCGAAGCCAAGTGCCCATGGACGCATAATCCTTGGCCACCAGGGATGCCGAAAGGAAGGGAACCTGCACGTGAAGCTGCACCTGGCCGACATCATAAGGAAGGACGGGAGCGAACAAGTCACGCCTTGAGGTGCTCCAACTCGCCCCCCAGGAAAACATGAACGGCCATAGGCAACTCAAGCCGTTCAAGTGCAAAGTCCGACAGGACGAATGCCGAGCCCCCCGCGAAGAAAAAGCAGTCTGCCAGCCAGGAAGACTCCGGCACCTTGTAATGCACCCAATAAGGAAAAAAGGAGCCAAGCTCAAAATGAAGAAGGCTTCAATATCAAGACTTAATCCGGGTCTCGCAGGAGGTAAGCCGCAAGGGGCCTCCCACACTCTCCTCGGTGGGATGCGGGAAGTCAAAAACCTCCAGGAGGGAGGAACCGAAGAACCCAAGGGAACTGGAAACCAAACCCGGGGAGGAGTCAAACTCATAACATAATTGTACAGGGAGGGGGATAGGAAAACCCCTCCCCCCTGTAACAACAAGCCCTGCACCAAGGGTACCAAACACCCAAGCAGCGACCAGTGGGGCCCAGGCCCCCCTTCCCCAAGTCAACTCCTCCCCAGCCCCGGAATCCTCCACATCAGGACCCGGGGCTGAGCCGTCCTTCAAACCCCTCTGCCTTTGGAGAAAAAGCAGAGTCCACCAGAAAAGCAGGGATAAAGGGGGCCCGGTGGCGTGGCCGAAAAGCTCCGGCAGGAGGACCAGGCTCGAATACCTCCGCTACCAATCCGGGAGGGGCAATCCCCGTAGCTGTCAGTCTAACTACCAGTATAATTCAACCGGGCAGCTGCGGGGCATCCAGAAGGGCAACTAATCTCACACATTGCTGCAACTTGAACCACGGATGTAATGCTAAAGCTCCTGCACCCAAATATCAGTCTCGGTGGACTGGGTGAGTTGGAGTACAAGCAAAGAACACCACTTGCAGGACTCCGGGTCATAGGTGTCACTGACCCTAACAGGCAGCAAGGCGAGTGTCACCCTGAGATAAGGGGACAGAGCAACCTTCCAACTCGCACATGGCAAGGTGGAACTCGGAGGTCTCCTACATTGGACCACTGAGCCCCAACGGGGGTTTTCCAGGGCCTTTTGGCTGACTGCTAAGGGAAGGCCAGACATGTACTACTAACCGGTTATCCCAGAGCTACCAGGCAAACAATCTAAAAGCTGAACTCCTGTGACGTGTGCAAGCACAAGAACCTAGTGGAGGGCCACCAAAAACCTACTAGTGGTCCTACCACCACACCTGGAAGACCCTCGCCAGGCAAAACAAAACAAAAACATAAGAAAAAAAACACAAAAGCACAACGTCTCCAGGTGAACAGAACCGGTCGCTATGCGTATATCAGACAACTGCACAGTACCTCACGCCCCAGCCAGCGTCGAAACTACCTCCTACCCAAGGAAAAACAGGAGTAAGAACCACTCCAGCTGAACCCCCAAGGGCGGGCAATCACCGAGCAGTGACAGAACCACATGGAGGTAGCTGCTCCTGAACGGCTCATGAAAGATAACCCTGAAGCCGCAAAGGTAGTACTTACGGGGCACCTAGGGAAGGTAGACCTAGGAGCATGCAGCCCCACTACTCTTGTGTTACTCCTGGCTCACACACCATCAATACAGAGCAACAACACTGCACTGCAGCACCACTCAAAGAGTGGAGCCAGAGCGATGACCGTTCACCATCACAACAGCCTTTGAACTGAGGAGAGTTGCCGGCGTAGAGGTCTGGGACTCCCCCCCCCCCCCCTGTCCCCCTCCCAGGGAGAGGGGGATGCGTGGCAGTTGTGGTGACATCATGTTTGTTTCCTGGTTTTTGATTGGCGAGTTCTGTTTGCTTTTTCGACTTTCGGTTTGCAATTTTTTGGCTAGCAGTAGTTTTTGAAATTCCTACCTTTCTCAGTGCCTGACTTGGTAGATGACAGACAAAGACTGCTTCCAATTACACGGGAGTGTCTTTAGGCCATTGCTTCTTGTGCTTCTCTTGAGGAGGGGGCCAGGTTCTGGCTCTGGTCTGCAGTAGGCCTAGAACTCCTTCGATTGACTGTTGCCACGGTCTAATATATACATCAGCCTGGTATAGCTCCAGGCAGCCGAATGGGCTCTCCACAGAAAATGGCGTTTCATTACATTCAACGCTGTTTATTTTTTTGTTTTGTTTTTTCCAAATGAATTCTAGGATATAAGAAGCTTAAATGCCATTGCCAATCCAAAACAATACTTGGTCAGTTAATGCACAAATGGGAAAGGTGTACATAGGTTGTTGAGGTGAGCTGTGCCTTGAGCAGGATGAGCAAACAGAGATATCAAGGATAGGGGACATTTTATTTATTTATTTGGTATGGTAAATTGACTAGACATATAGCTGCCTCTAATAGTAGATCTGTTACTGTATATAATAAATGATGCAAATTTAACAGAATTGTATTGCAATACAGTATTTGTAAATTTGTACACATTTTAGATTATTCACTTCATGACACTTTAAGCAGTTGTTGCAAATGCTGCTAGTAATCTGAAATAAGTTAAATCTTGGGACCTTTGAAGTTACAGTATTACTCATTTTTAATTTGTTTAACTTTTATTTGGCAATGGTTATTTCAGTAAGAGAGACTTAATGAAATAGGTTAATGGAAAAAATCTGCAGTTAACAATGGCTATCTAACTTAGATGTAATAGTCTAATATTGTACTCACCATTACTGACAATAATGTATCTTGATCCATTGGGTAGGTGAATGTAGAGAGTACTAGCTCCCCTCAGAGCAGCAACAGCAGTAGCTGTTCTAGTACAGCAGCAGAAACCACTGCAGTAGAAAGAGGCATCTCTGGAAACCTTGAGTTACCTACAAGGCCTAGCAACACGAGTCCTGGAACAGACGAGGGAATGTGGCCTCGAGCATCGCTGGTAGGGACTCCCGAGTTGTCTCCAGGCCCTACGCATCTCCTACCGCCTCTTACGCATGTTCTTCCTCCACTGCTCCTGCCAGCTACTAGTGATTCTAGTGTCTTCCCTGTAGAAAATGATGGAAACAGTCTGCTAACAACTCCGCACACAAACGTTTCACCTCACTTAGTGGCTTGCCCACCTCAGATGGATGAGAAAGAAACTTCCTTTACAGCAAAACCTCCCCTTAGCAGAACTACTATTAGTTATGATGTTTTTGAGCCATACACAAATGGCAGTGTCACTCTTGATAGTTTAAAACAAGACAGTCCAAGAAATAGTGTTGGTTCGGCGGATTTTAGCCCCATACGGAGAAGTAGAATTAAAGGAAATGTGGAAACTGTGTAATATTTAAGTTAGTGTTTCAGTGTACAGTACTTAATATAATAATTTTTAATATATTTTTCTGTTATGCCTTATCTGTTACTTTATCTTTTATAATAAGAATTATCAGAGGAAAACAAATAATGATTGACTGATTTTAATATAATTTTTCCCTATTTTAAAAAAATAGAAAAATATTTGTGTAAATTAAGTACTGTTGAAGCATAAAGTATAATTTATTGTTAGTAAAAAGACTTCACATTATGGAATAACTGCAAATGTCTCTAATGCACTTTCTTAGATTTGAAATACTGTACAATGTATTGAAAGTGTTGGAGATGGTCTTGAGAAGCTTCTACATGAGGATAATTGTCAAGGAAGCGGAGCTCCTCAAGTGAGCAAGGTGCTAAAGTTAGACGGTAGACTGGCATTAGTTTGCAAATAAGCTTTTATATAATAAATACAGTATTGTTTTGAAAAAGTAATTTTTTTGCATATTGTGTATACAACAATAGGTTCACCATTTTATGATCTGCCCATATGGCAATATTTTGACTGTAATATCACTTTCACAAGAAAGGTCGTGTAATTTGATTTGACAGTTCATCATTATAAAAAATACAGTATTACAATAAGATAGTTCAGAGAAGACAGACGTGATAACGACGTATATCAAGAGTTAGTAATTACAGAGTCGCATTATTACCTCAAACTTCAGTGGGTTTACTGTATATTAGCATAAACACTCAAATTAAATGGCGATTCATATTGGCTTTATTAGTTTAAGGTATATCTGCAGTGCAGCTTGTGGGGTCAAATATTTTGTGATATTTAGAGCTGTTACAATTGTACATCTATTGTTATTATGTGGGGGGTCTCTTCTTAAGAGAGCTGTAAATATGATTTTCTGTTGACTTTATAAGAAAGGCTCTATACAATATGATGCATACTAGTTTGGTTGTGTTATTTGGTGCCTCGTGATGGTGATATTGTTTACATTACCCCTCCCACCAACAATATCAATTAAACCTTAATCGTTACCCACTCTTAATTTGTCTAACACCTATGAGCAGGCTTTTTTTTTTAAGCATTATTGTTTTATGTTTATATCAGACAAAACTTAATGTTTGAAAGTCAGTATTTTCATACATTTATCAAACTTCAACAACAACCATTGTTTGTTTGTTTTTATCAATTAAATCGATTACTGCAGTGCTGTTAAAACTTCTTAAGCCATACCTACGTTCAATGACAAACTTCTCTAAATAGATATTTCGTGACTTTTACGGTTACTGCTTTACCATTATGGCTAATTGTAAATTTAAATGGTACTGGCTGTTTTGTTTAGTTTGCTTATATTTATATTGTATATATGTAGGTAATAGTAATATTTTAATATTGTGAGCTATTTATTTGTATAATTAATTTTTTACTGGTGGAAGTGATACGTGTGAAAATCTAATACCTTGAGACTGTTGAATATTGCGTAACATGCCATGCTAGCCATCCTGGCTTATTGTGTTGTGTTGGTAATTACTGACACGTGAGTGGGGGATACTGCGGCTGCTTTGGTTGAGTGCTTAGTGTGTAGTGTGTACGTATGCATGCATGTGTACGTGAAGGTTGCAATATATATACAGTACGTGGATATGTATACAGTACTGTTTGTGTGTGATTTGGATATGTGGGTGAATATATAATGGTATGATGATTAGTGTGTGCGTATAAAAGTGTTGTTACCTAATTTCCAAAATACTGAATTTTTGTAAAAATGCCCTATAATATGCAAGCTCCTCACTTAAATCTGTAGTGATCTAGGTTTTGTCCCTTATAATTAATCAGCATGCTAAATTAAATTAAATTTACTCAACTGCTTTAAAGTGCACCAGCAGATCAAAATATGTCAATTGAAACCACACCTATTTTTGGATTCATCCTCCGTGTTAGACAATGAGAACATAATTCTTTGCTATTACAGTATTGTCTTAAAGTCTGAATTCTGATTGTGTCACATCAGTACAAGTCATAAAGGCTTTTGGCCACACGTTCAATTTGATTTTTACAAGCAGGTGGAAACACAATGTGGAAAGTCATCTTTCTTATTGCTATTGGAATATTCATTGTTTTTATGCCAACTTCCATAAACTCCTGCTTCTGATCATGCAGTTTATATTTGTCTCCAGGAGCCGATGCTTGGCGCTCATCCTGGTCACGTCTATGGTTATTCCTTTCTCTCTTCCCCTCCAGCTTTTGCTGGGGACCATAACTTTACTGCTCTCTTTGAACCATCACGATATGTCCTTTGTCCCCCTACTTTTTCAGTCACACATTCGGTGTTCTGCAGCCCATATCTTTGTGAGTAAATGGTATACAGTCTGTTCCATTTATCTTTCCCTTCCCGCAAATGTCCTGCTTTCTCTTCCTGATCTTAACACTTTGGCTTACCCCGCGCGCCACCCCTCAACTGTGCGATATGGGTCCAAGGGTGTCACGGGAGCGCGCGTAAATTCTGAAAAGTGTATACTCTCTTCAACTTTGTCACCTTAATTCTCGTCCTACGAGATTAAATTTGGTATCATTGTGTTCGCAATAGAATTCTCTACAGCACTAAATGCATATAAACTCCAAAAGCCCGGCTAATTACCCGCAGCAAACAGAGAAAGTGCTAACGAGTTACCCAGGAGCGCGCAAACGCGATAAAATGTTTTCACTATTTTCAGTCTGGTCACCTCAATTTTCGTCCTAGGTCTTTCATTTTGGTCTCAATGGGTTCGCAATAGAATTATCTAGAGGAACATTAGCATATAAAATAAAAAACCTGGTCACGCTCCAACTGCCGACGAGTTGAAGACGGGCCGCGCGTTAGCCGCGAGTGAGCGCTCAGATGCCTTCCAGCTACACTCCCAATTCCCGCCCTTTTCAAGCCTTTCTTTCACAATTTTCTTCCTGGAAGGGCTTTGTTCATGATCACTATCCATCGTGGAGTAAGTGTAGATAGTTTCTAAAGCCGCAGTAAGAAATATAGCCACGGAAAATAGCCGAAATGTTCACACGTTTGAGATGCGAAGGGAGGCGACATTGGTCACAACAGTGGAGCGAAAACAATAGGCCGACGGCGTGTGCCGAGCTGCCTGAGGGCCACGAGAGTGCAACAAAGAAAAAGGAAAGACATCGGCGCGCATTTTAAAACCAGTCCCCAAAAAATCGGATGAAAACCTGATTTTTGGCGATTATTTAAAGTGGATGACGCAATGCTGCGTCATCCCCGGCATTACCAACAGTAAACGGATGACGCAATGCTGCGTCATGCCCGGGCGAAAGTGTTAAATAAATACCTGTTGGACTCCTTACCTAAGCCTGTGCTCCTTTTAGGTGATTTCAACTGTCAGCATACCCTCTTGGGAAATGTTTTGACAAACACCCAGGGCCACCCCCTAGAACCATTTGTCTTCTCAATTCTGGTGAACCCATTTTTGTTGACTCACACTCACACCCTTTTCTATCTTGATCTTTCTTTCTACTCATCTTTTCTTTATTTGGATTACACCTGGTGGGTTCTTGATGACCTCCATAACAGTGACCATTTCCCCATCCTTGTCACCTTCTCTCTTCACCCTCCCCTTTCCTTCCCTAGAAGGCAGTTTGCCAAGGCTGACTGTAACCTCTTCACCTTATGTGCTACTCTTTGCGACACCTGATTTGCCTCTCCCTCGAACTCTCCTTTTTCATGACGGTTTTTGATGCTGCCCTCTGCTCTGTTCCTTGCTCTTCCTCCTGGGAAGTATGTTCCCTGGAGGAATGCAGACTGTGCCTGGGCTGTCCTCTGTAAGTGTGCTGCCTGGAAGAAACACAACTGCCGACGGACATCAGAGTTCTTTATTTTGTTTCGGAAGGCAAGTGCAGTGGCTGCAGGGTCATCCGTACGTTTAAGTGTGAGTGGAAGATCTTTCATTTCCATCATTACTACTAACATTCCTCTGCCTCTGATCTGGAAGAAAATCCTCAAGTTAGCGGGTATGTTTGTTCCAGATGTCTTGCAAGTCTTTCCCCTCTTGGTTCTCTTGTGACAGATCTGGTGTCGGTCGCAATCGAACAGGGTTCTCACTTTTTGACTGGTAGCTCCGGTTCTCATCTTCCTCCTCCTTTCCTCACTTGTAAGCCCCTTCTTGAATCTTGTCCTTTAGATTTTTGCATTCATCTTCCCTATAATGATCCTTTCTCTCAGAACTCCAGTCTGCCCTGGCCCTCTGTGGTTTTACAGCAGTGAGCTCAGATGACGTTCATTGAGATACTTTGCCATCTCCCTCCATGCACATTTCAATATTTACTGAATGTTTATAACCATGTCTGGGATTCATCACTCCCTGAGGACTGGCTTAAGGCGATTGTTCTTCCTATTCGGAAACCTGGTTCTCTAGGGTCATGCCTTAAAGCTGCCCCCTATTGCCTTCACACGTTGCATCTGCAAACGCTCTGAGCATATGGTCAATGTCCTCCTGATGTGGTTCTTGGAATGTTGTCGCCACCTTTCCCCTTCTCAATTTGGCTTTCGCAAGTGTCGCAGCACGACTGATGTCCTTGTGAATTTGGAGATCTATATTTGTACTGCCTTTGCTGCGAAGACCTCAGTGGTGGTTGTCCTTTTTGACCTGGAGAAGGCATATGACACCACCTGGAGATAACATATTCTGTCCCAACTCTATTCTTTTGGCCTTCGTGGTAATCTTCCTCCAGAGCTCCCCCCTCTGGTCCCTTTAGAGTGAGGCTTGGTACCACACTCTCTCTCCGCCTGCTTTTGGCAATACGAGGGTGTACCCCAAGGTAGTGTTCCGAGCACTACTATTTTCCTGGTTGCCCACAATGGTCTTCTTTCCTCTTTTCTCTCTGATATTTTCTCTGCTTTTTATGTTGATGATCTTAACCTCCGCTGTCGCGGTAATGACTCCTTTCCTCCAACAGCGGCTTCAATTTGCAATTGATGCTGTGTTGCCCTGGGCCACCAATCAGGCTTCAAGTTCTCTACAGCTAAAGACTTGTGCTATGACCTTTACTTGGAAGCAGGTCATTCTTGAACCCCCCTTCCCCCTTTGTCGCTTTACGGTAATCCTCTTTTGTATAAGGATTTTGCTAAACTTCTGGGGTTAATCTTTGACACTCTCTTGTCTTCATCACCCCATATCTCTTGTCTCTGAGTTGAATGCTCTAAGACCCTTAACTTAAGATCTTGTCCCATACTTCCTGGGGGAGCTGAAAGGCGCACGTCCCTCTTTACATTCCTCTCTTGTGCTGTCTAAACTCGATTGTGGCTCTCCTGCTTGCTTGTCTGTTTCTCCCTCAACTCTTCGTCGTCTTGATGCTTTTCACTGTTATGGGTTATGCCGCAGCTCTGGTGTCTTTTGTTAGACTCCTACCCAGCACCTGTATGTTGAAACCGGCATCCTGTCTACAGGATCGCTGCGATTGCTACTGTCTTCGCTTTGGCGATCCTTACAACACCCCTCACTCTCGCTTATGGCATACTTTGACCATTATCCCTTCTGTGGGCCTTGTTTCTTTTCACCACCATTCTCTTTCTGTACGATTGTCTCGCTTGCAAGGTTCTCTCTCGGTTCGTGTTACCAATGTTTCTCCTCGTGTCGTTCCATTCTTGCCCCCATGAAGAGTCCCTATTAAGTTTTGTAGAACCTTGACCCTACATGACAAAAGCTTTTACCCCCTCCTACCATTCTGAAATGCATTTTCCTTGCTCATTTTTCTGCATGCTCCTGCTCCATTTCCATCTTCACAGCAGAACTTTATGCTATTCTCTATGCTCTCTGTCTCTTGCTTTCTCATTGTCAATCCTCCTTTGTGGTTGTAGTTGACTCTCGTAGTGCCCTCATGGCTCTAGGGTCCTTTAATCCTGTCCATCCGGCGGTCATAGAGATTCAACATTGGCTGTTTCTTATTTCT